GGGAAATTACCAAAATCCTCTTCTAAGGTACAAAGAGGATCATGTCTATTTCCACCATTATCACAACAACAACGGGAAAATTTAAGAAATAAATAAGAAGTGAACGATAGCATGACAATAATGAGGCCTTCAATATGCACACTGACCAAGACAATGAATAAAGAAAAAGCCATGACACCAAACTTTTTCACATTGTTGATTTTAAAGTTTTACCCAATATGGGGTTTGATTTCCCCCAACGAACATGCTATTAAAGGCTTGGCAATAGGGTCAGTCAGTTAACCGATTATTGCCGTGAATGGCCCCAATAAAAAGGGGGGCTGGGGAGTGTCAACTCTGACTCTGCAAGTGGTACTACTCTCTGCCACTGAGTTAAAACCACGATTCAATTTTTTATATATATATATATATATATCACAAACATGAACGAGCCTGGGCATTGAAGTTTGAGTTTTATTGAGCATTTCACGCTCCAGAAGAAACTAAATGTTGTACCTTCTGAATTGTGTGTTTTGACTGATTAGCTGCAACATGCAACATGAGCAGTGGAATTTTAACTTTTAAAGGTGAAATGTGGAAAAGTAAAGTATAATGGGAAAAAATATCAAACCAAATTAAATAATACAAAAGCAAGTGAACATGGACAGTTTGTTTATTTTATTTGTTTATAATTATTTATCAGTTTTTTTGAGTTATTGTACAGAGTAATTCATGTGATGATTTCTTCTTCTTCTTCTTCTTCTTCCTCTTTCTTCTACTTCTTTTCTTCTGTCTTAATGTTTATTATTGCTGTTCATATTGTCCATGTTGGCATTGTGATAATTACAATAATACATTTTGCGGAAATTAATGTGGGTACGTCAGAAAATAACTTTTTGAGAGTTTCTTTTCAAGCTTGAGGGTGTACTCAATTTTATTTTTGAATAGAAAATTTCAGTTTGGTTGTGCGTGTCTCTCATTATGTAAATATATTTTACACATGCACGGCATTTCCTTGCACTCTACAAAATTTACACTTTTGAAAGCAAGTCATTTATTTTTATAAAACTCTTTCATGAAATCTATATTTTTTTTTCAAGTTTGTGATGATTGCTGTTAAAATGATTATGCCAAAGTACCATTTCAGCAAAATGCAAAAGTGAGTGTTTCTCTTTACCCACACAATTTTAAAACAAATAGAAATATTAACCATGTCACAAAAAATTGCATGTCATATGTCGAAATCATAATTTCTCATAATTTAAATATTTTTGGTTAAAAAAATAAATTTGGTGGTTTAAACGCTCCAAATTTTACAATGCTGCAAACCACATTATTCACAAGAGTACACAAAAAATATGGACCACTGAAGTAAAAAGTGCCAATTGGCAACAAGATAGCTAAGTATTTGAGATTCTGTAGAAAAACATAAATGTAAAAAATTTCTAATTAAATTTTTTTTTGTTTACAAAAGAAGGTTTTAAACTTTGCATGTAAGACAGATTTGACACTTGATTCTGCCAAAAAACTGTGAAATATGTGTGCCACCTTAAAGCAGTATAAAAGGTTCTATATACCCAGTTAAACTAGCTGAATATTAAACAAAAAAATTGCTTGAAGTCTTCATTGTAGTTGCCAGTTGACATGTGCATGGCATGTGTTGGTTGATATAAAATGTTGTTGTTGTTGTTGTTTTATTTTATTTTCAATTTTTTCAATTTTTTTCTAATAATTTTCAAAGGTGCTGGAACTAAGATTTCAACACCACCACTGGTTGCAATTTTTTTATTTAGAAATATTTTAAGAGTGGGATCTACATTTTTGACAACAATAAGGAGAAGCACTATAAAACAAATAACCATTTAATGTTCTCTACAATAAAGAATATTTTAGAATAATAATAGTTGTAATAATAATACTTTTTTGGTTTGTTATCTCAAAATACATCCAATCAATATAAATGTCCTATGACAGGAGTTATATTATACTTTTCATTTTATTCATCTTAAATATTCATTACACTAACACCAAAAAGAAAAGAAAAGGACCAAGTGTCTTCTACATTTTATGTTAAACAACAAAGAAACTCTCACACTTAATTAACAAGTTGCATTTAGGTTGAGAGTTGGCACTAAATGTCACAATTGTAGGACCTTCTCAAGAAGTCACATTGTGTTGTGAAACAAAGCAGACATCAATTCCAACATGCAATACATCAAAATAAACAACTTTTATCACACACCACATCAATTACACACTTGTCTTCTTCCACCCCCCCCCCCCCTTTCCCCACACTGCCACATTAATAGAAACTAGCTTCCAAAGAATATAATAGTAAAACTTGGAACTCTCTCTCTCTCTCTCTCTCACTCTCTCTTGTTCCTCAAATCTTCGCCCCATTCACTCCCCAAATATATGGGCTTGTAAAGAGGGGGTAGAAAAATGGACCCACCATGATACTTACAGTTCCAAAGGCTCCTTTGTTTTCATTCAAACCAGTTGACTATTGTTGCAAGGCTATTGAATCAAGCGGGAATACACAACTGAGCCCTTGTGCAGCCTCCTCCATTATGCACAAGAGGGGGTGGTATCATTTTTTCCACTGGGTGGGCAGGTGGAGCAGTGATGCAATACATGAAACCCTAATTTGTGGGGGGGGGGACAAAAACAAAAAACGAAAAAACAAACACACCCAACTGGGCATGGGGGAATGAGGAAGAAGAAAGTGGGAGTTGGGGTGGTGGTGATTTAGTGTGTGACTGTGTTGAGCTCTTACTCTCCACATTGTGATAAAAACCCGTCAGAAACAATCAGGCACTGACACAGTGAGGGAGAAAGTGAATGTGGGTGGGGGGTGGGGTAATTAGGGTTTGGAGATGGAGTGAGTGAGTGAGTGAGTGAGCTAATGAGGCCACACCCCTGCTGCTGCCAAGGTGTGTGACAGATCCCACACACCCCATGATTGATTGTTTCCCCATAGCTTTTATGTTGTTGGGCTTGTCTGTTTGGAAGACCATGATGGTCAAGAAGAAGATACAAAAAAAAAAAAAAAAAAAAAAAAAAAAAACACTGGAAATCTCAGGGTTTAAAAATATTGGTGCCTGAACCAACACCTGCACTGCCTACCTGCCTCCTCGCTCCAGGGAATCTTTTTATAAAACAAAATACATAAAAATAAATAAAATGTAATTTTGGGTTTGTTTGTTCCATGAAACATGCTAAAACATGGTCTTTGCTCAAGTTGAGAAATGAGTTATAGTTTTTTGTAGGTATGGAAATAGAATTAAAGTTTTATGTTGGAGTGTTTTCATGTCAAGAATCATGAACAACTTTATGTAAAGAATTGTAAGCATTTTAAAAGTGCCTTGGGGATTTTGACTACACAATGGAGATGCAAAACTGACACTTCTAACTTGGACTCATGTTTAAGTTTTGGTTCTATAATGACTTTGATATTTGATACAATGTTCTTTACTGTTCTATTATTAATTTATTTTGGTGTTCTTCATTTGGTCTGTAGGTCATCAAATAAAAGTATGATCTGACATACCCTCACAACAAGCTCATAGAGCAATGCTACAGATTTGCTTCATAACCAGATGTAAAACAGGGAGCTTGGAGTTTCATGAATTGAATTTAGCTATAAATGACTTCACCTTGGGAACCTCAAATAAACCTGAGTTTTTTCAAATTATAAAAACTTTCAAAGTTTGTTCAATTCAAAAACAATTACGTGTTACTAATATTTTTGGAAACACACACACACACACATATATGTATATATATATATATATATATATATATATAATTGCTTACGTCACTTGAGAAGCTATCATTGAAAGTTTAAGCCACAAAATGGTTTTAAATTTTAGAATCCTAATTCTATGTTATTCTTTAAAAAAAATACTACTAATAACAACAATAAAATATACATTGTTATAGTTCAAACTGGCTTTTACGTATAGGAGAAGAAAAGAAAAAGAAGCTGTTTATGTGCTAACTTTGAATTGAGTCACATAAATCCTTCAAAAGTTGTGGAAGCACAATAATAATTACACAGTGAAACATCCTCTAAATATCAAATGCTCAAGATAAACCTAATAATGATAATATTAATAATAATAACAATAATTTGTCATAGCCTTTGTCAGTGTGATAACAAAGTCTAAATAATTGTTGCACACCACCAACTTTACACAAGTTACATATGTGCAAGTGTCTTAGATATTCTCAAAATGAAACAAAGAGATGAGAAGAAAGACAATTCTTGTACAATGTCCTCTAAAACCTATGTCAACCATCCCCTTTCACTCTCTCTCTTTGTACAAACTATATAATTATTCTTCATTGTTCATAATAATAACAACAATAATATTATGATCACCATCAATAAATCTTGTGGTTGTCATTGGTCATACAGGGGATTTCTCATCACTTAATGACATAGTGCAGTTGATTACCTAGCTTTACAACCCCCCCCCACAGTTATGACAATTCTAAGAATGGCATTGTTTGTCTGAAGATGGGTTTCTAGTAAAGACACGAAGCCTGTAGTTATTACAAGAATGGGGATGGAGAAAAAAACATAACAAGTAGCAAGGAAGGAGGGAAAATAAAGGAATGGGGAAAGGGGAATAGAGAGTTGAGGATAGAGTAGGGACGGTTTTAGGGTAGTTACGGTTATAGGGAGAAGAGGAGCGGCGATAGGTGGGGATGGGGCACGGCAGAGATTCCTAAGAGAGGAGGCATGCTGCTGAATCGTAGGGCGGGAAGTTTTAACCCCCCTTCTCCCGTGCCAGAATTGAAAGCCCGCCCGAATGCACACTTGTCAACCCAGCCATGATTACTACGTCTCTGGGAAGGGGGAGAAGAGAAGCACGGTACTGTGGTCTTATCCTATGGCCACGGATGGTGACAGGGGGGGGCGGGTGCCTGGGCGGGCAGAGACGAGGACGGGTGACCGCGGTTGGCGCCACAAGTCCCCCTCACCCCGCCCCGCCCGTCCCACACCCCCCCCCACCTCCCTCTCCCAGCTCGGCGTCACTAGGCTCCACGCACACGAGGCTAGGACCCCGCACCCCCGTTTCCCAATTAGCAATCGATTCTCGATTGCCTCTCGCTCCGCGCGCTCCGTCGCTTGCTTGCTTGCTTCCTACTTTTGTTGTTACTTTGGTTTTGCACTGCTCATCCGGATTGAATGATGACCTTGGTATCGGAATGCGAGCGCTGTTGCACGTAGTGCATTCGTGTCAGGGGATTTGGATTCGCCGATAGGCCGGGGAGGGGGGAAGAGGCGGAGGGAAACTGTTTCCTCTGCTTCTTCTTCTTTTTCGCCTCGTCGTGTTGGTTTCGAATGTTTCAGGAGAGAATGCCTGTTGCTCAGTGGCTTTTCTTCCACTCTGCAGGGCGTGATTTAGAGAGGGAGGACGATTTGATACGTGGATCTTGTGGTGTTGAGTGTTGGTCGACAATGGGCGGAGCTTGTTGTTGCGATGAGTCGTGTTGGAAGTCGTAAGAGCGGTCTCGGAGAGTGGCGTCGAGGGTAGACCGGGGTTCGAGGGGCTGGTGCACTTGCAGGGACGTGATTGCAATTGATTCTGGTCGCCAAGGGGGGCAGTCAGGTGCATTTCGCTGTAGAGACGGTGGATATCAGGTTCATCATCGGAAAGAGTTTTGGACGAATTAGATGCCCGCGGTTTTGGCAATGAAGATGCCACTCCAATCCCTACCTCGAAGAACTTCTACACGGACGTGATACTGGTAGACTGAAAGGCTTTCAGACTATAGTTGAGTTTGGAACTCTTTCATGTCTTGTAGGTGCTGAAGAAGTGCTTACTTTGGCTTGTCTGGCATGATGTGCTCTGTAAGTGTGGATCTGTTTCCTAGCTATCTATAGTCGTGGTAGCCGGAGGTTGGTAAAGACAGATTTTGGGTCGCAACATCAATGGTGGCGGGGTTGAGGAACGAGCTACGCACCTTCAGAGGTAGAGTCGACGAGTTACTCGCTGTAGGGGGAGGGAGGAGATGCAAACGGAATTTTGTTCAAACCGAAACGAAGTGTTTACTATGTTTTTACACGCAAATTTGAGCGGGTGAAGGTGTAGTGATTACAGAATCGGACCCGGTACTGTTACCCTTGTTCCGGGTCGCAGGTCTTTGAGCTTCCAAATAGTTTGAAGGACCTTCAACTCGGGCGTGACTTGTTTTGGTCACTTATGTTCCGCTATCCTTGGATTTAAAAGGAAGTTTTCCCTCTAACTTACGAAGCTGAAAATTGTTGAGAGTTGCTACATTTTCACCTACCCCTTGCCGCAAGAGCCCAAGTACTCTCGCTGATATGCCACCAAATGAAGTTCCATCATCTTCTTCACTTGGACCCTCATATTTGCAGTGGCATCTGCAGTCGGTGGACGATTCTGTGGCCGTGAAGCAAAACCTGCAAGCGTTAATGACGGAATTAGAGTTCTAGTTGCTGGTCATGAGGATGCGTCAAAATGGGTAGAATGGACATGTTTTCGGCAGTTTTTGTTAATATCATCGTGGCGTGGACCTAGTACACTGTTACTCGGAGAAAGAACTCTTCAAACGGGACGAAGAGTTTTTTATTGCAGGTATTTTGGATGCCGTGTATTTCTTTCATTACCTTGTCTGTGATCGGATCCATCATTGCATCAATCCGCATTGTCAGGGAAATAGTATGCGAATGATCGAACCATGGTTATGAATTCGCGTAATTGCACAGGAAAATGTGCATTTTGCGCTTCAGTGGCACTCCCTGCGATGCAAGGCTGTTCTGTGTTCCTGTAGGTTCATATCATTGTCGCGCATGTGTATTGCTCAAACATAATACTTTTCGAGCTGCATATATTGCTATGTATTTTGTTATTGAACATTGTTCGATCAGGGAGGGTTCATTTAAAGCATTCACTGAACTGCTGCTCATGTGACCCACTAGCGTTAATTAAATATGAGGTGGAAGAACTTGCACTCGGGTGCTTTTCTTTAATCTAAATTCCGCATTGATGTGAGGTCGCGTTTGGGCTTCCTAAGTCATTTTGCTTCATGCCTTTGGCTATTTTTTTTTGTTTACATTGCATATCTGATTGATTGCTTGCATTGCAGGTCTAAACGGATGCTCGATTCTTCGTTGTGAGTGACACGCCGTAGAATGTAGGTGGAACTCAGTTTACAAGACGGTCCTGTAATACTTAAGTTCACAGTGCCGTTTTAGTGTCAAATTAGTCTTTGGGTTTGCACCGACAATAGTGCTATTTGGGTTGACAAATCTGGAGCGAAGTTGCCATGACAGGGCTGTTTCAAATTTTTGACCGCTACAGAGCCTTGGCTAGAAGTAAAAGTGTACCAAAAAAAGTAGTCGCAGCCAGTCATGGTGAGAGTCAGAATTCTGTTTGTTACTTTGATCTCAAATTTGCGTTATGTGGGTTTTCTTTGCGTTTGTTGCTACTACCGTTCCTTTTAGAAATGCCATTTTTATAAGCTAACAATTTGTAAATGATGTTTAGGCCAAGCGTTACCAGGAGGTGAGCGCGACCCAAGCTGTATCAATTTTGCATATCACATGGTATGCTTTCTACCGACTTCGTTGTGGGATGTGATTCGCAGAACATGAGGTCGATAGCGTCAACTTGCGCTTCGCAGTTGTTTTACTGTAGACCGTCGTTGTAGGGGAACCCAAGCATATGTAGCGGCATTGCATTAACTCGCTCTGTAGACTTCATCTGTGCTCCAATTAAGTCCACTTTCAGCGATGGCCATATGTGAAGTGTTCTTTATTTTTAGTCTTGTGATTCAAGAGCGACAACTTCGAATTAGTTATGCTGACTTTTTGTGAGTTATCTTGGAAATATCGGCTTGGCAGTTCCAAGATGAGTCTGGACAAAGGAGAGCTACGCCGGCAGGTCAAGGTCATCTGCCCCAATTGGAAGCTTCTCGAGAACCTCGAAGATCATCCATCGACAACAGTGAAGTCATGGTGGCCAAGACGTTGGAGGCCCCCAAGGACATTCAAACTACAGTGGAATCGAAACCCCAGCCACCCCGCACTTCTCTGGACTCAAGATCAAAACCACGGCTTTCTTTTTACTTAAAGGACGAGGCTTCTAGCGAGGATACTACAGCACCGTCGTCTGCGAAGGATGTTCCTAATTCAGTCTCGGTTGAGCCTCCTGGATATCCCATCAGCGGATTGCATCAAAGAAGAAGCTCTGATCCGGCAGTAGCTACACCCAGATTATCAGTTGATGGAAAAGTGCCAGGGAATGAGGACAAGGAGAAGAAGACTAGAGACTTCAAGGACATGCTTAAAGGATCATTCAAGAGAAAAGGGCCTAGGGTGAACAGCCAAGAATCCCCTGGAAGTTCATTCGATTTGAAAGAAGTTGAGCAAGTAAAGACTGTACCAGAATTGCAGATGGAGAATAGGGAGGGATTGAGCAGTTTGCCTGTGTCTGGGCAAGTTGTTCCGGGCGAGGATGAGGAGTTCAAAGAATATAGCGTTTTTACGGGGAGCCCTAATGGATGGCTCGAAAGTAGAGATGGGTCTACACCCCGGTTGACCGTGGAACTGAAAGATGGTCCTCAATTAACTCGGAAAGATGATCAGCGTGTGCTCAGCAACGACATATCTAGACTTACTGGTTCTGAAGACCCTTGTGAATATATTATTAGGAATGCTCACGATTCTTTTCCTCTTGGATCAAAAGAATCACCGGAAGTCATGGGTTCGAAGGACTTGCGGAAAACGCAGATGAATTGGGCGCCGAATCCTATTGATAGCAGAGAGTTATCTAGACCCCCAGCTTACGGTAAAGCAGCGGGATCAAGATTATCTGCTGATAGGCCGCCTGCCTCTCGCCAGTCCGGTGGTGATAGAGAATTCCATCGTTCGCCGAATGCAAACAATTGGTTTGCTCAGAATATTCACAAGTCTTTGGAGACGTCTACACCAGTCTTACTAAGGAAAGACAACGCATGGTGTGCTTCACCTGGAAGAACCGTTGACGGTAACTGGGAGAACGGTTTGGAAGGTTCCAAATGGAAGACATCAAGTGTAGTTGCTAGGTTGATGGGGCTTGAAGACTTGCCAAATTTTGATTTGGTGAGCAATGCTGAAGCATCGTCAAGAATGTCTCCTATGGAGCATTACCCTGCGCTCCAAAGGGGGGGTTCCTATTATATGCAACCAGATGAATCGCCCTGTCGAGATGACGAGGACTCTTATCAAGTCTTCGGGACTGATGAGGTTGTTACTCCTCTACGGAAGGATACTTCGAGTAAGTGCATGTCTGGTGTTCCCTTAGGTCTGTCAGGGCGGCAGCAAGCCCTGTCAGTATCAACTCCCCCTAGGTTACAATTTGGATATCCTATTTCACCTGACAACAAGGGTCAACATACTCCTGCCTCTCCGAAACATCTATCTGTGTCACCGAAGCACCACATGATTGAAAGTCTGCCTCAAGTTCTTAAACATCAAGTTGAGCTCAAATCTTCCAGTGAAGGGCTTTTATATAGCGATATGGACCAACGTTTGAGGCAACTGGGTCTCAAAAATACTATTCAGGAGCGTAAAACTTTGAAGCAGATTTTAGAAGCCATGCATCACAAGGGTCTCTTGCAGCCTCCCCGCCACATGGACTCTGAGTGGAAGCACAATCTCCCAAGACAAAGTTCAAATGGTGCTGTTGCAAAATCTTTATTTGATAACAAAAAAGATAATTCGTCATCTTACATGGTTGATTCTTTCAAGAACGATCTTTTTGGTTTGGACTACAAAGACATTCCAACGTACATATCTGCTCAAAAGGCCAGAAGTTCAGCAGAAGGTGGTCTTGTACCTGACGGTAGTAAGTCACCCTTGAGAGGAAGGTCTGGTGAAGCATCGATAGTTGTGATGAAGCCTTTGAATACGAAATCTACCTCAAAGCTCATCCTTGTCAAACCTTCTCTGGACCCACCTCTAGAGAAGAACCAAGAAGTTGTCACTGTACGTGAAACAAGTGCATTTAAATCTTTATCTACATTAGCTACTCCAACTGCTACTATTGCGAAGGATGGTAGTGTTTCGATGAATATCAGGTGTGTTTTCTGTCTACAATACTGATTGTTGTGAAGTTCCTGAAAACCTTGGATGTTTATGTCTTCCTGGATTCCCAAAGGAAGTTTGGGACCATCATCAGATTTTATATTGTTTATTGGTTGATTTCAGTTCTGTACGTTGATGGAGAATATATAAGATAGGGTAGTGCTTGATGCCTGGAAGTGTCTTTTCTCAAAATAGGTTTACTTGTGACGTTGAAAGAGGTTTCTCGTTTATTCTAATAGTTCTTATTCAACGCAAACTTACATCTTGCCATGAAATTTATGTTCTTCTAATTTTATCTGTTTTTCTTTCCTTACAGGATCTCTTCCGGAAGTGAGACTTCTGCTGCTTCTGCTGCTTCCAGCAAAGTAAGGACGAGGTCTAAATCAGTTGACCCAAGGGGCCAGGATTCATTTGAGGAGGTTCCCATATCCGTGAGACAGCGGAGAGAACGTATTGCTGCTCGAACTGCAAAATTCAAAACTGAGGGTGGAGATCAGCAGTGGGATAATCCGAAGTCCACAAGATCTCCGTCCTCTATCGGTAAGAAGTCTCCCAAGAGTAGTTCACCAGCTCGAAGTGCATTCGGTTCCAGTGTAACAGGCGATGCAAAGCCTCGAGCTAGATCTACAATGGAGAAGAAGGATATTAAAAATGCTATTCAAGTAACAAGGAAGGCGAAATCTAGTCATGAACAGTCGAAGGAAGGGAACAACTCTGAGCAAGAGGATCGAAAGGTGCCCACTCGCAATAGATTGGACTTGAAATCGGTTGCAGGAGATGTCGAAAAGACTGCAGGGTTAGAGTCATGCAACAGTTCCATGAGTGCAGCAGAAGTTGCTATACTTCGTATTAACAGAACTGGAAGAGGCAGTTCTAATGATCTATCCAATTCTGCTCTATTTGTAGATGTAGATACGAAAGGAGTTAGGGATGCATCTTTTGAAAAGAACGAACTTGAAGAGTTTTGTAGTGGAGAAGTGGAGTCTACAACTCATTCGCGTAGTGAAAGCCAAGATGTTACGCTGGAAAGGTCACGAGATGGATCACCCATTAATGTCATGTCACCTACTTTTATATTTTTCGAAAGCCGTAGAACAGACAGTAGTAGATATAATTTAGAAGATCTTCCGGATGACTTCTATGATTCCAAAGAAAGATACGAGTCCAAATTGGAAGACTCTGAGCCGCAGACGGAAAGTGATGCGGCGCTCTTCACAGATCAGGGCAGCTCGGATGTGTCGATGAGTCGGGAATCTCAGATGGATGAGGTACTGCTTTCTAGTAAATGTCTTCTTGTATGTTTTGTCGATTAAGTATGTGATAATTGTTGAATCTTAGAAAGTTTATGTATCATTATTTTGTATAGTATGGTGTGACTTTGACTTTTAGTTTTTAAGACAGTACCAGTCTTGGCTGAAGTTTTGACGTTTGTCGTGTTCATCCTCTTCCCACAGCCTGGATCGAGTGTATTGGATTCTTCAGAAGCATCACCTCCTGGTTTTCCGGTCTGGAGAAAAGGATTCGAGGATAGAAATGAACAGTTATCCAAAGGTGTTGAGCAACCAAGTCCCATTTCTGTGCTAAACAGGAACTTTCAGGAGGAAGAATGCACGCCAAGTCCTAGCTTCGAGAAAGCTGGTTTTGTTAGCCTTCAAGGTCAGACTTGTTAACGATCATCATCTAGCTGTTCTGAAAGTTGATATGGTTGGCAGCACTGGATCTTCGGTCTGACATCATTTCATGAATGCAATGATTAGCTATTATTCTCCAACTATTATCTTGTGTCAGGAATTTCGGTTGAAATCTATAATCATTACTGCTGTCATTTGCCATTATGCTAAACTTGTGCAGATTGCTCCGCATCTGAGTCAGGAGGGGAACAGGAAGACTTGAAGGCCCCGATATGGCAACCGGCTGATCCATCCACTCCGACACATCAAATGCCAGTACTGATCGGCGATCCTTTGAAAGACTTATTACACAAAGTTGCCCGGTCGCTTAATTTGGATGATCAGAACTCATTTCTTAATAAACCTACTCTAGAGATTCAGGTCCCGCATGTCTCTGACCTGTCTACACCATCTCTAAACTCGGTCCCTTCATCTTTCTCAACGAAAGAAGATGAGGAGGCATATGTGAGACATATCATGGTCGCATCTGGAGTGACAGAGGAGCATGCTGCTCCAAAAGAATGGCCTCAGTCTGGGCCGCTAATGAAGACGGACTTTTTTGATCAACTTGAAGAGCACCTGGAGCTAAGAGAATCCGCTCGTAAGCAGAACGTCTATCTATCAGGAGAAGAGAGAACGGAATATGTTAAGCAAGCCCTGGATCGGCGTGTCCTTTTCGACTGCGTGAACAGCATATTGGAGAGAAAGTGGTACCCATACTTCTATCCCCAGCCTTGGGGTACACAATCCTTTCGTAAGAAGCCCATGGGTGCAAAGCTTGTGGAAGAAATTTGGGAGGAGTTGAAAACAATTCATACCTGTGCGTTGGATGACGACACGCTTTACACCATCCTACAGATGGATTTCACACACCGAGCTGAAAAGTGGGTAGATTTTTCAGTTGAAATAGGAGAAATCGGCTTGGAGATAGAAGAGATGATATTAGATGAGTTGGTGGATGCAGCTGTACAGGAATGGTACGACGAATGTGATTTCCCATAGTCACAACCAGCTGCCTTATAAGCCCCACCGGCTCACCCTGTAAGATATGAACAAAAACAACTTGACAGTGATATGTTCACTACACCTCCCTCGTTGTGGGAAGCCACAGGGACCTCTTGTGACTCACTAAAAAATACTTCTTTAAGAAATGCTTGTTGCATTTTCGACTGAAACTAGTTGACCGCATACGCATGGTTGCATAGTCTTGCAGAACTATTGCTCTGTTACAGAAGTATCATTTGTATTTGTGAATATAGTGGGTTGTATTCTTTTGGTCCACATGATCTCTTTCTACTTTCCAGTTCTGCAATTACTCTTCGATGACATGAAAACAGAAATCCTAAAGCCTTTTTTTGGCATCGCTTTGGCGACTAAAATGGAAGTAGGACGAAACTACATGGATGAACAGCGTTGATTAACCATTTTGTTGTCCTTGAAGAGTAGAAATGTATTGATTCTTGAGTAAATAAAGACGTGAATGTTTCTTTGTGAAGAAAATACACCTCTACTTTGGCATATGACCTTTGAATAAAGTCTTAAAAGTTTACAAACCAACATTTTTTCCGCACGTGTTTTAGCGATGAAAATCATAATAAAACATATTCTTTCAATTCCAATATGTTTGCTTAGAGATTACTTTGCTCACAGGCGTGAACAAAGAGTGTTAAATCAAAGTATTAAAGAGTATGTCTTGACAAAGGAACAACCTTGTACAGAGGGGCATAACTTGTCTTTTTTGTAAAATAAGCGCCAATGGCATTCCACAAAGGATTTTATAAAGAAATTTTGTATGTCTTTATTTTAATAGGCTAACTTGACAGTCTTTCAAATTCTTAAAATCAAATTTTGTTAGAATGCTCTCTAATTCAGTCTTTCTTAGAGTCTTACATCTAGATCCTACTGATACAAGTCTATTGTGGAATTTAATCATAATATCTTGATAGTTAGTCTAGAAATATTTTTGTGACATCTTGAACAAAGTTTAAGGACAAGTTCTAACATCTTAAAGCAGTTTGGAATACTATGTGAGATTGTTTATATATATGTTTTAAAGGACATCCTATATCAATTAAGAAGTATTTAAAAACAAAAACAAAAATAAAAAAAAAAAAAAATGAAAATTTTAGTTTTAAGAAGAGTCACATAGGAACAATATTCTTCTTCTAGTTGATACTTAAGTATATTTACCATTAAAATCAAGGTATCAAGATTTTTTTTAAAATCATTAAATCAAATAATTACATTTTAAAAAATATTTATTGTAAGGACAAACACATATTTTAATTGCATCAATATATTAAAAGTGCTTAATTTTATTTGTTTATAAAAATAAAAAATAAAAAAGAATATATAAATGTCCTTAAAGTATTATTAAATTCATATTTTTACACTCTTATGTTATAGCTAAAACAATACTATGGTTGAAACTTAACACTAATTTATTTTAGAAATAATTATATTTAACTTTGTAATTATGTTAGCAAACAATTAATTTCTCAAGCTCTATATACTTTTTCTTATATTTTAAAGTTTGAGTTTTATTTACTTTATTTAAATATATATACATCAGTCAACAAAGTAATATTTAAAGGATAAACAAAAATGTTTTGGTACCCATTGTAAATCCCTAGTCCATTGCTCTTGGAAATAACATTAAAAACTTGTTTCCAAGTTCCGAAGTTCCTAATTTGAATTCCACTTGCATGGTTGAGAAGAGTCTTGGAAGATACCAAAATATCCAAGAAGAAATACCAAAATAATTGTGCCATATTTTTATTTTTGATTATTTATTCCACAAAACAAATTTTAAAAAACTACTCACACTTCAAGTTCTACTACTATTTTTTTCAACAAAGTAAGTAAAAGTTTTGATTATTTTTTTTTGTTGCAAGTATGCCTTGCAATTCTTAAACTTATAGTTTTAGTTCACTATTATTCTATGTATTAATATAGTAAATATATGATACCCGCATGTATGGATTTTATTGATACAAAACGAACTTTTCATTTCACAAATTATTATTTCATTTTAGCAAACTAAATAAGAAATTAAGTAATTTCTGGATCCAATAAAGACAACCACTACATGACAGATGGTAAAGCTTAGAATTCAGATCTGGCCCAGCGCTATATGCTTGTTTCTCAATAACTCCACATATAACTTAAACAACTCGCAAAAAGTCATTATGGATCATTTTGTATACAAATCGTTATACAAAACGTTGGAAGCAAACAAAGGAATCGTACTCATCTTAGCATGCTCATTATCTAACGTATTCCACATACAGTAAAACACAACGTTGCAAGTCAAACTAGAAGCACCTGCAATTGTACCCAAAAAACAGAAACTCATGGAAAACCTGACAAACTGTGGACTAGCCTATAAGAGATTTCCAGACTATATACAAAATCAGAAGAAACAGCACATCTGCACAGTTGTACAATGTGCGAATCCTTCACCAATCACACACGAACTGGTTTCAGGAAGTAAAATTAACGTCAAGCATTCCAGACTTGAATGTGCGGCTGCAGCCTTAAAATATATCTACGAAAACGAGGTTCCAGAACCATCGTACCTTAGAGTAGTTCCATGCAGATACTGTGATCAGAGACCGGTTTTGCCACGTGAGGGATATGCACCCGGCTAGTCTCCGCAACCAGAATCTGTCACAGAATTGCCACAGGAGCTGCACGGCCTGGCTGTAGGCGTAATGGCTGAGCGGCACGGTGGAGAACCCAGCAGTTTGCATGATTTTGCTCCATTGTTCCAAGCTCTCATGGCGCTCTGTCCTATCTGCATCCTCAAAGGCAACGATGTTTTCGATCTGTTTGGCGAAGTAGTTTTTTTCAACGTTCAACCGGTCTGGACAATCGCGAGGCATGGCTGCGTCCAAGGAATCGAAGAGGGCACTGTAGAAGTGCAGTGCGTCCACAAACCGGGGTCTGAATTCGGACCCGTTGAGGGCAGCGTCGTGTTCTGTGAGGGTGCGAGAGTGGGAGCCAAGCAAGCCACTGATTTGAGAAGCCGGAGTATGGATGTTGTTCCCTCCTCCTCCAGCATCTGGTGGAGTTGTGGCATGAAGTTTGCAACTACCTTTTCGTCTGGGTTGAGCTGGAGCAGCTCCGGAGTGAAGTCCTCCATCGAGACCAAGACCACGGGATGAAACTCAAATTCAATCTTGAGATGCTCTGCACAGTAGGGGAACAACAACGAGTTAATCCCATTGGCTTGGATCAATTCATGGAAGACGAGGAGCAGAAGGTGAACAATCTATCTGCTAAGATGTCTAACCAGGATCCCGTTAATATGGAATGCAACACGTCTCACTCGAACAGATGGGATTACGCAAGTTTACTCACAAAGGCTTGAAGTCTTTTGCCAGTTGCTAGAGAAGACATAGAGGCAGACTCAGAGGCCACATTACAGGTACTGATCCCCGTAATCTTAGCCATCGGAAGCGGGCGCTTCTCTGCCAGGGAGGCAAACGCTTGAAGCAAGCTGCCCACTGAATCCCATGCGTGATTCCAAAATCAACAATATGCACCGATTCACAGCTCCTCACTGACTCCAATATTGCTTGGTTTGCAGTGAAGTGGGCGAATACAACCACGTGATGTCATGACAACCCAAGTAGCGGTGAATTGCAACCACATGTCCATCACAGGTTCACAGCTTACCCAACGAGAGCCTCCAAATCATCACATCCCCTGCAACTTGAACTTGGCCATTGCAGTCCCAGCAACAAGAAATCGGATTCAAATTAGAATACTACTTCCACGTACAAGCTCTTCCTATCTCATTGACGACTCCGGGTCTACGCCCTCTTCTCGTCTACGGTACGACAACGCTTGTAATCTACACAAACTCCTCCAATTCCTAGAATGCAGCCAACGGAGACAATCTTCACCAGCTTAGCACGGACACTAGAGTTTCAAATTCAAAAGGCCTAGAGGACACAGCCTATGACGAACGTCAGACTCACAAAACCAACAATCGGAGTCTTCACATCAACACAGCTGACGGATTCAACCAACTTATCCTCAGCTCCCCACACTCAAACAACACGGAACTCCAAATTTCAGTATCCCAGTGCTCCAAAACCGCCCAACAGCCTAAACGCGGCCCACAAATCACACCCCACACACCCGTCCGCAAGCTTTCATGGAATTCTCATGAAGCTCACGAAAAACGCCACCGCTGACGCAAATCTCCACCAAAAAAGCCAAATCTGGTCCCAAACTAAGGCGATCTCGAAGCAAGTCGCGATGGTGGGCCTGAATCGGGGCGCGGGGCGAGGATCGAGGGTATGCAGCTCAACAAAGAGGCGGGAGAGAGGTGAAGAAAGAGAGACGTTGAGCGCATACGGTGACGCCAGCGTCGGTGAAGACTGACTTGATTTCTGAGCCTCCGGTCCTGCCATGCTGGCGGTTTTTACACGTGTCAGTTCGATATACATCCACATCGGATGCCACATGCCACATAGGATGCATCCTAAATGTGAGGTGTGAATGCGTCGTGTGGCCCTTTTTTGACGCTTGCTTTTGTGTCGGTACTGTTTGGGACTTCGTTGAGGTGACCAAAAGCCGTGGAGGGGTCTTCTGTGGAATCGACGTCCTGAGTTGAGGGATCAAAACAGGGGGCTCAGTATTTATGTCTTCATATTGTTGGACAACAGATTTCCCTCAAGTTATAAATTTCAAGAGTAGTGTGTATATATATAATTTAACACCGAAAATATTGATTCAGATTTAATATGTATATTAAAAAATCTTGTATCATTATTATTATAATTAAAAATTTGAAGGAAAATAAAACATAATTTACTTGGTTTTGAGTTCATCGGTCATGTGCATGTATAGATTTTTGGTGGGCGAGTACCGATCTAGCCTAGGTAAGAAAAGCGATGTCACCAGAGAATTAATCGCAACTGTGCTTGGGATGCAAAATTAAAGCATGTAATCGACAACATAGTTTGCAGAATGCTCAACCATTGGATTGCAACAAATTAGGTCTGTGTTGAAGAGGCATATTGTTTGGTTTTGCAACAAGCCAAGTGTTGTTGAAATCAGAGCATCAAGGTGATCAGATTAGAGCATTGAGGAGATCAAACGAGTTGTTTGAATGAGGGAGAAGTCCCCAAGTTAGGATCATGGTCAAAGGCAAGAGTATCCTACTTTATCTTGTTGCATAATTGTTTTTATTAGCAATTTACATTATATAACATAGTTTTCTTATGGAAATAGTTTAATAAAGGGCCCAATTAATCAAGAACATTTAATTTATTTGAATTATAATTTATTATTTTTTGTTCATATTTAAATTAGGTAGTTGTTTGTATTGACTTTTGCCTTAATCTTAAATTTACATTTAACTTTTCTTGATCATATTTTTTCCCAGCATTAAAATTATAAAAGAAGGTAAATATAAGAATATAATATAATATAACATAATCAAAACATATACTTTACAACTTAATTTAAATATATAAATGAGTACCTTCATGAAGTAATAAAATTCATAGTTGGACTTGTATAAATACTTCAATACTTAGATATAATTTTAAGATGATTTTGCATTAAAATATAATACACTTATTTCATCTCAAGTTCACATGTAAGATTAACAAGTATCGGATATTTCTACTATCATTAGTTTTTGTCATTGAGTAAAATGTAGATTTTGAGTATAGTTATATCATATATATAAATCACTTTAATAATTTAAAGTAATATTATTCATTTAATTTTTTTGATGTAATATTATCTTAATAGTAATATATACAATAAGGTTTTAAATAAGTAACTTTTTTGAGAGTGAGGAAAAAAGAATATAATAATGTGAAAGTATTACACAAAATTAAAGAATAATGTGCTGTAGGAAAAATTTAAAGTTTTTTTAGCAAGGAGTATTACACGATGGCATTTTTGTTAATAATAGGGTATTATTTAAAAGTGCATACGGTAAGCTATATAATATTCTAAGTGTGTTTTATTACTTTTATAAACAATGTTTTTTGAAAAAAGGAATAAAGTTGATTCTAATTGATGCTTTATAAAAAAATAAGTTGAATTTGGAAGTTTAAGATTGATATTGAAAAGGTTATGTATTTAGCCAAATGCATAAAAGTTTACTAGATTAGTAATACTGTTTGTGTAAAAGTCTTACGAAAGGATAATATTTTAATAATTTATAGCTACATAAAGTATTATAAATTTGAATTAAATTAGTTTGGTTATTATATAGGTTAGAGGCCTTACCCAATTTAATTAGGTAAGCATACATCAACACAATAAATCTTAAAAATCACAATTTTTGTTCTGCACTTTTTATGTATTGGTTTTGCTGTTGAAATTTTAAATAGCAAAGACAATACAAGATATATAAATGAAGGAAAATTAATAACTCATGATTAAAGAAGAAATAATAAAAAATTTAATAAATTTTTTTAGTATATTTTTAATTAGATACAATATTTGTGATTTGTTTATAAAATTTGAAATTAAGTCAATCTATACATAATTATTTTTATTATGTCAAAATATTATAAAGTTATGTTAATTACAGATTTAAATTAAAATTTAGTTTATAATGCATATTTTTGGATTAAAATCTTAATTATTTCTTATTAATATTTTTTTAATTTTTTGATAGGTCTTGTAGTATTTGAAAAATATTTTAAGAATCTAATTAAACTTTATCAAGCTTCAAAATTTTGCAAAGAATTATAAAAATATTTAGTATTAATTATTTTGGTGGGTATAAAAATATATCATGATGATTTTGTATAACTGATTATTGATTTAAAATAAATATTTTTATGTCACTTTATTTGTTATATACTATTTTTATTACTTCTAGAATAATTGTGTAAAATAGAAAATAAATTTAAAAATTACTATCACTAATTTCGGTTATTTTTACTTATTTAAAATATATTAATAATATTTTAATTATGTTTTACAAACATCTTATTAATAAGAGCTTTAAAATTTTAAATAAAATTTTCAATAACATTTTAATTGAGTGACTAAATACAAAATATATAAATCATTTGCTTAATTATTATGGGCAATCTTACAGAGTTTTTAAAAATAGTTATTTGTTTATTATATTCTAATTTTTCAGATTTTTATTAAATTTTATAATAATTTTTTTGAAAATATTAAAAATTAGTTAAAATAATTTTAAAAATAAAATTTAAAATTTTATTTGTTAATTTTAGATTTTGAAAATAAAATAAGGTATAAAAAAAGTCTTCTTGACTGAACATCAATGTACAAATCTTTATAAATAAAATGGTCATATTATCAAAGTATTTAAAAACTTAAAGACTTGAAGCTATATAAATTTCAAATTTATATTATTATTTATAAATTCTAATAGATAACATTTAATATATATATATATATATATATATATATATATATAATGATAAATTATATATGCATCTATCTATGGTGATAAAATATTGTAGATAAGCATGTTGGTATCAAACAAGTATCTTTCTAGTAGAAAACAAAAAGATATTTAGAAAGCTACTATTATATCAAATATTGCATCATGTGTTGACATTTGTCTTGTATTATAAATTCTCTTGGTGGGCTTTGCCCGCCAATTTTTTAACAACCCTTGTAGGTTGGTGTAGGTTTAATTTGAAGCTTTTTTTTTAGAAAAAGGTACTAGGATTAGAAATAGGATTTTTTTTAGACCTCACATGGACATCAATGTGTTGTACAACAATTGTTCTTTGTAGTTAAATTAAATTTCTTTGTGTGTTCTCTAGAAGATGTAGCTTTAACCTTGAAGTGAACCACTTACATCTTTGTCTCTTCTAAGTTGTATTGCATTTAGTTTGATTTGTGTGCATTTATAGAAAATTCCAACATCATGGTTAAATTTGAGGATTTTGACTTTAAAAACTATTTATTAGTAAGATTGAAGAACTTTTAGCATATAGAAGGTAGAGACTTAAATGGTTTGGAAGTCTCAAACGATATCAAAATTTATAAATTATAAAACTTATTATTTGTAGAAATTATAGAAAAGTTTATAAATTTAAATAGTTAAACTTTTAGGTGCATCAAAAATGATAGATGTTAATTTGAATGTATTATTTTTAAAAGATATAAATATCTTAGCTGTTTCAAGCCATCCAAATTTGATCAAATATTATTACATTTTAAAAAATAATATTGATGATGATAAAAAAATCAAAATTTATATTTAATAATAGAATTGATACAAATATTTGATTTAAATAAAATAATAGGATAAAATATTTCAATTATATATTATTATTTTTTTTTTTATTGATTTAAAATATTTGCATTTTAGATTAATAAAAAAACCTTTTCCATTATGAATCTATTTATGTTTAGTTGGTATAGAAAAAATAAGAAAGAATATGTTAGCAAAAGCCACATTTGATGATTTATAGCACATGTATCCTGTATTATATTTTATTAAAACTATTCAAAATGAAGAAAATAGTTTAGCTATAGTTTAAAAATATTAAGACTATTTAATATTTAATTAAAACCAGCAAATTTGGAAGAAGTATAAGAAGTAGTAAACAAATTATTGATACCTTAAAAGTTGAAGAGAAGAATATTTTTTGGAAATATGTTGTTTCTTTTGCAATGATGTGAATTAGAAAAAATACATATCAAATAAATAAATATTAAAAATTTAGATTTATAATAAGAAAAATTCTATTAATCAAGATCCAAATATATTTAAAATTAATACAATATTGGAACTTAAGTTAGAGAGATGTGAGTCTTTAAAAATTCTACTAACAAAATTAAAGAGTCACAATTCTTTAATAAAATTAGTTTTTAAAAAAATGTAGAAATATATATGATATATATTAGCTACTTTATTAATAAAGTATGAATTTCGATTTTTTATCTTTAAGTCAATATTTGCTCTATTTTAAAAATCTATATTACTGAGTAGAAATATGGTTTTCATCTACTCTAATTAATTCTCTACTTCAAAATGATTTTGACTTTAAAGATGTTTTTGTTGAAGCTGATAAGTAATTTCTTACTTAAGAAATACATATTATAAATACTAAGAAGTATTTTTACTTCAAAATCCATCTAATAAATATAATAGTCATAGTTTATTTTATAAAAACAACAAAAATAATTTTAAATTATAAAAAGCATAGTTTTTTACTTCAATTACCTCTTAATTTCTTCTCTTTTATATAAAACATCTCTATTAACATTTTAAAATTATGATAATTTTAAAACATGAAATACATATACTAAAAAATAATATCAAATTTTTTTAACTCTACTCAATCCCATAGTTTGAAGACATTTTCTACTTCAAAAAAATCTCCTATGAATTTGTATTAATATTTGAATTGAAGAAGTAACAAAACTTAATCTAATAAGGACTTCTCCATCCATCCATGTATTTATTCTTGTTCCCCTCTTCATTTCTCTTCTCCAATGACAAAATTGCTGCAAAGTCATTATGACTACTATAGATTTATCATTTTTTTCACTTTCTAAAACTTTCTAAATAAACTTGATATGATAAAGTTGCAAAGAATTTGATTGACTTGATGTCAAAACATGTGCACACAAACAAAATTTATGAATTTATCTTTATTCTCCACCCAATAAAGTACTACTATAAATAATAATGTGTTATGACTTAGAGTGATTAAATCATTCTCAACTAAATATCCTTTGAATGTTACTTTACACTTTTGGTCCCTTGACCAAGCCTTCTAAATCACTTATAATTGGACATGTCAACATTGAGGTGGAAAATAGAAGATTCATTAAACTTAATTCTATATATATATATATATATATATATATCTATACATATACTAGAAGAAACCATGTTGTGGAGCACAAAAAATATTTACTGAAAATTACTATTGGGAGCTTGAAGTGCTACTCTCTGCAATCTATAATAACAACATGCAAATTTTGATCTCTAATTGATCAAAAGTTGAGTTATTGCTTCACTTTTAATGAAAACAATGAAATATATAGTCAATCACAGATGGTTTTTGTCGCCTCTGGTTTATTTTTTGAGCTGTTTTATACAAGAGATTTATAACAACTTCATTCCTGCGCCGGTGAAGAGTCTGCCTACCGTGAAGAAGACGCCGTGAGCTTCATTCCAACGGCAACGAATTCACAGCGCATTCATTGCAAGCATTTTGCATTCTTCCATGTGAAACTTACTTGGTGGTGAGAAGAAGAGTGCTCTTTGCCTTTCTAAGTAGCCAGCATCTCATTTCGCCAAGACCCCTCTTGGCCTGACTGCCATGCCTTCCAAGACCCCTCTTGGCTTGACTGCCGTGCCTTCCAAGAGCGCCTACACCCCTCACGTCTGCGGTTGTCTGCGCAGACATGCTGCTGATTTTGCGACGATGTATGCATAGAAACAGTCAGGGAAGATAATATTCTCAGCGTGTGCTATTGTCGTTATCACCCAGCTGGCCTTCGGTCTGCAATCTCTCATGCATACATGCCACATTGAAAAATATAAGCTTTGCAGTGACGAGATAGGCTGTCGCCAACGAGTGCATGTTCAAGCTCTTCTGTGCAACAGCGCCTGTGTCCTGATTGATCATCGTGTAAGTTCTGGTGTAGTTTGCTTCCCACCTTTCTTACGTACTTTCTTCTCCACTCGTCTTTTGTACTTATCTCTCTACCATTGTTATATGGTTATGTTTGGGGCTTTTGTTGGTTAATTGGTTGGATGAGGTGATGTTTAGTGCAGTGCCTTCTAAGGCAAGTCCAATTCGTCGCTATTCTATTCACTGGGACATGACACCTAGCTGTATTGTTTTGTAGATTCAATTCCTTCCCTGTAAAATCCTGAGTCCAGGCAACGATGGAAGATCCAACCCCAACTGAACCGAAGCCTCTGCCATGGCCTTGGCCTCGTAATCCACCACCAACCCGGCCACCTCGTCAGCTTCAGATTGCGCTGCTCAAGGCTACGCAAAGGCTCTTGTCCAAATTCTTAATTGTAAGAGAGCTGGTCTGTACATTAGAATTCTGCGAGAAGTTTCTCACGGTTTTAATTAATAAGATAGGTGTCATCTACACAACAAGTTCTGTGGAAGTTTTCATCAACGATGGGGGTGTTTGAAGGCCAAGGATATGCTCAGAGATCTCCAGCCCTACAGTTCCAGACAGTTTATTTGATGAATCCTTTGGTGCATCTTATGTCCGATCACAAGAATCTCATGAGGAAGTACTTTGACTGATCAAGATGAGATTCTTGGCGTCTGCTGGCTGAAATTTTTGGTACTTGCATCAGCTTTCGCAGCGCCAGGCTCTCTCGTCTTTGATGCAAACTGCAGCATAGTGAAAGAAAAAGTGAACGATGATTTCCTGAAACCTCAAACCATGCAGGAAAGGGGCAATGGAACGGCTGCAGTATTTAGCCCAGAACGCGCAATTCTTACAATGAAGGCTGACAAATTGGGATCAAAAGAAGGCAAGTTTTGCGCAGAAGTTAAACTCTGCTGAGGAAGATACTAAAGAATCAAGAGTCAGATGAGCAGAAGATACCAAAGCCAATTCCAGGGAGAAAGCACGAAAGTTCGAAAAGTAGAAACTGGGTCATGAGATCGATATGCTTAAAAGGACCCTAGCATTCAAGAAACTAGTGGACTTCATATTCCTTGTGCTAGTCCGCGAACGAGACAATGTGATGAGTGTGATGCTAAAAGAGAGGGTTAAAGGAGCTATTGTTGGCGCCATTGTTGTCCAATATTTCATGATATAAAGGCGCTGTTGCAGGCACCCTAGGGTTTAGAGCTCCTTGCCCCGCGTCAATCACACTCCTTCCAAGCCCTGCTAGCTACACTCACCCTTGAGTGGAACTAGAATTAGGACTTGTCCTCGGAGGCCTTTTCTCATTGTGATCACATTCCTAGTTGCCTCGGCTGCGGTTGTTCACGGAGATGCTGTCGTTCTCTTTGAGGACTGTGCCGCCCATGACGATTATCAGACAGCGTGAGCACTAATTGTAGATTTTGAGGTTAGATTTGAGGTTTACAGTTTCCTGTGGGAATTTTGCGTTTACAGGGCGTACAGGTTATAGAGTTTTAGAGTTTCAGATTTTTTTTTTGGGGTGGGGGGGGGGGGGGGGGAGGGGGTTGTAGAAGGACAAGGCAATGGGGAAGGGCAGGAAGTCCCCGAACAAGGGTTCGGCCAAGAAGGCTCTTGCTTTGGTGAAGACGCCCAAGCAGGAGAAGGCCAATGCTTTGATGGAGACGCCCAAGCAGAAGAAAGCCAATGCTGCGCAGGAGACTGCCGAACAGAAGAAGGCCAACGCTGAGATTGAGACGCCCAAACAGAAGACAGCTAATGGTGGGGTGGAGTCACCCAAGAAGAACAAGGCCGAAGATAAGAAGGCTGCTGATTTGGTAAAAGAGAATGTGACGGTCGTGAAGGAAGTGGTTTCGAAGGGTGAGGAGATTGTGATGAAGACGGGAACGGATTCCCTGAAGGTAGATGTGGTGGAGGTAAAGAAGGTGGTCGAAGGAGGAAATGAGAAGGAGGAGGTGATGACGAGGGGTACGAGGAAGCGTGACGGCAAGAGGACACCTAACAAGAATTCGGCTGATTATGTTACTGCTATGGTGGAAAATGCCAAGGACGAAAAGACTCCCGCAGTGGTAGAGGAGAAGGTGACGGTCGTGGAGGAAGTGGATGGTGAAGGTTGAGGAGGTTGTGGAGAAGACAATCCCGGATGCCATGAAGGTGGATGCGGTGGTGACATTGAAGGAGACGGTTGAGGGGGGAGATGGGCAGGTGATGACGAGAGGTAAGAAGACGCCAAAGAAGAATGCGGCCAATCACGCTGCAGCTGTGGTGGAGAAGGCCGAAAACAAGAAGGCCACTGCGGTGGTAGAGGAGAAGGTGTCGGTCGTGGAGGAGACGGTGACAACGGTTGAGGAGGTTGTGAAGAAGGCTGTGTCGGATGCAGTTGTGACAGCGAAAGAGACGGCAAAGGAGGGAGATGGGGAGGAGAACCTGAAGTAGGGGGAGGTGAAGGAGAAGCAGCCGCAGGAAGTGGGTCATTTTGAATGAATTGAAATCGAAACCTGTTGAATCGAATGTAGCCGAAGAAATGGAGGTGGACAAGGTGAACGGTATCATTGAAAAAGCCGAGGAGGACGGAGACAAGATGGTGGACGACGAGGCTAAGATTAACAGGAAAAGTTTGAGGAGAGAAGAATCAGGGCAAAGCTACGAAAAGCTGCGGCCAAGAAGGCCAATGCTATTACGGAGAATGTAAAGGAGGAGACGGTTGATGAGGGGGTTACATCGAAAACAGTTGAATCAAAACCTGTTGTAGCCGATGTGTCGAATGGACTGGAGGACAAGGTTATGACTAAAAAGCAGATGGCCGAGAAGAGAAAAGCTAAGTACATGGATTACAAAGCGAATGTGGAACCGAAGAAACCTTGGCCCTATAGTTTTTCATACGTCATTCAAAATGTTCACTTATTTCCGCAATTCGCTTCAATGCTGGGACCTTGGCCAAAATCCTAACAAGGAGAGTTTAAAGTTGTCTTATTTTCCGGACTAGAAAAATGTCCATTTTAAGCCCATTGAATCCAGTCGAAGCTTGTGCTTGGCTTGGGATTTAGGGTTGGTATTCTAGTTTCTTTACCTTAAATTGTTTGTTCGAATCTTCGTTAATTTTTTTGAATGTACGTACAGTGCTGGCTGGCAACAATGTATTGTGTTTTAAGTTTTTTCGCGTGTTGCAGTATGAGTATATGGTGCTTATTGAGCTCATCGCTCAATCAGACTCCAACAAGGTTGCAGGCGGAATCACGGCGTTCCAAGTCCACATTAACCCCAATTGTCAAAGCAGATGCTTCATTCTCATTCGCGAGGACGGATCGAAAGAGGAGTTCAGCTTCAAAAAATATGTCAAAACTTTGATGCCTCCCTTGAGTATCTGGTCAAGGCAACCGGTGAATTAGACCCCCAAAAGCTTTTTCTAGTGCAGATGAAAAGACATAAACGAGTCGATCATAAGAACAAGGATGGCCGCAAAGGTGCTCGTATATCGCAGGTGAGCTTGAGTTCAGGGGTTGTTGAAGAGTTATGTTCAAAGAATACTGCAGCTCCAGGTAATGACTACAACTGCTCCAAATTTTTGTTGGAGTCTACAGCCTAGTGGTGTGTGCCTTGCACATCTCACACGTCGAAATCTCTAGCTAGCAGGACATGGGTGAGGCTGCGTGTTCAGTGCCGGAAGGCATCATAGAAATGTGCATGTTGCCTAAAATGTCTTGCACATTTGCATTTATTTCTATCTGCCGTGATTCTTCTACATCGTATCAGGTTTAGGATCTAAGTTGTACAGCCTATCTTTACTTGAAAAGAAATTTTTGATGATTAGATGAGGGACAAAGGTAATGCTTCTCTTCGGAAGTTGGTCGTTTGGGAGTATCATTCTGCAAGACCACTGTTTGTATGACCTCGTCGTGAGTTCCACAAGTATAACCAAAATCTTACCACCATGTACTTAAGTACTTCAGTGACTTACGTATAAAACTCTTTGGAACCAAAAAGAACAAAGCTCATCCACCTTTAAGCATGGATTCATTAAGATTGTATTGTGATGATATCTAAAAAAACACTTGGAATATGGAAGTTTTTCCAAACTATAGTGGGAAGTTATATATATATATATATATATATACATGTATATTTTGACACAAAAAGCAGGTATATCCAATGCATTGATAGTTAAGTGCAAAAGAAATCCTAACTCTTAGTATTTAGTAAGTGGAATCAAGAATAATGGAGCTATTGAATAATCGATACTCTGTGGTATGTTACAATTTCATTTGATTATTTTATGTATTTTATGCAAAATTAAGTGTTTTGCTATTTGTGATTTCTTCCATCTTTTCAAGAGACTTGGCTCTTCTACAAGGTGTTTTTCAAATTTCCTCAAGACTTCCTAACCAATTTGTCCAGGCATATATATATATATATATATATATTATTCTATCCAAATTCCCACAAGCAAACCTTCTATAAGAATCTCTTGTTTTGCATTAATATTTTTATTTTTAAATCTATCAAAAACCTAACATGCATTCAGTTCAAAAGGACAATTGTCTACATCAATCTCTCCTCATGATTTATTGTCAAATTGAAGATGTCAAAAAAATATTTGTATACCTAAGAAAAATCTCAAGAATATTGTGGAGTATATTGTTTTTTTGCAAATGTAAATATTGAAAGACATATCACTTTATATATTTTTTAAAATAAAAAAATGATAATATATGGGTTTTATGAACGATGACTTCAAAACTTAAATCTAACACAAGAATGAAAATTGGATGAGTAGATTATAATAATGACTGGATTTATGGTCATTAGATGCATACTTTGCCAATTTTATCTTTCACGTAGTAACTATTTGTACTTTGAACATTTTTTTCCACGTAGATCTTAGTAGAACCCAATTTCAGTCAATATATATTCATTATATTTTCAAATGATTGCTTGGAAGTTAACAGAAGAGCAAGATACTCAAAAATCAAAACATAAAATGACGCACTACTCAAACCTAAATATTCTGTTTTGTTGCGAACTCTCACATGAAAAGTTGCCATTGAAAGTATTCTTCTATTAAATGGCCAGTCAAGAATACAATCATGAGAAAGAGCTTTCCTAAAATTTCATGGGAAGAAAGCATTGCTCGGTTTGATAATAAGTCTCCGACAACCAAGTAAATAGAGACACAGGTGCTGCATCTACCAGCAACAAAAAATGTGATTGAAGGGCAATCGTCCACAGAGTGGCCAACTTCTGCACTCTGCCCATCTCCAGTGTCAACGCACCCATTTAGTGGCTTGTCACTGGCGATGTTGAGTCTGCTCCTATCTGCGAATCTCTCTTGTAGAAGAGACAGGCGCAATGCGTGAAATATTCATATGTACTGTACATTCAGGGGTGATGGAGCTATCCTTTGCTATGGTGACAACCACTCAGGTCACTGTTTAAAATGACTTAGTTGACTTGTCCTACCTGGACATTCGCAAGCGTAATGACGTAATCAGAGGAGATGCAGATTGATAATAGGTAAATACTTTGAACTGTCATATTGGCCAGAGTAAACATCATGGCAAAAATACTGAATGAAGATGTTCTAGCTTTCACATAAACATTAACCAGCGATAATGGGTGAGGGCGACATAGCACCCTCCTGCCAATCTTCACGAGGCAAAACAAGAGTGTAGCGACGCTTGCGTTTCAGATGCAGCGTCTAGTAAAAACTCTATTCTCATCATCTGTGTTGATAATCTGCAGTATCTAAAATGTTTCGAAGTATCCGCTGTCTACAAACCGCTAGTAATATATTTACGGATGGGGATGCCCAATTGCACTCTCCTTATTCCTCCTTCCAATTGCTCACACCCACACAAAATCTTACATGCCCTTTTATGCATCCTACTATTTGGTATGATTCCCATGTTCAATCTGCATAGCATTTCCTAGATCTTCTCTAACCTTCTGCAATCTCTCTAAACTATTCTCAGGGAACTGAACTAAATTCAAAGCATAGCAATATCACGCATGTCTATCATAATTTTACAAGCTAAACCCCCAAAGCCATGCAGAGCAAGGAAAAGGGTGGACGATATAATCTTCAGCAGTGTACAAAGAATGGCACAAGCAGAGGAAACTCTCGGGACTTACATTAAAATGTTATCCACATGCTTGGTACTCCAGTTGTTTTAATCTGCGTGATCAAGCTGCAGGATGACCTGTAGTTAGCCACGTACGGTAGCAGTGTTACTCGAATGACTGTCCGCTGACTGGTTAGATAGACCACTCATAGCACCAGCCCGGTTAGTGATAAGGTCATACAGCAGCTTCCTCTGTTGTTCACTCGTGTGCGGAAGAGTCGCTTGAAGCAGCTCGACAGGAATTTCTTTCTTCAAAGCTTCATCCGCAGCGGTATTGATAGCCGGTATATTTCCGGGATACAACATCATTAAAGAGTGTATCACGCTGTCATACTTATTGGTACAGTACTTCGTAAGTACAGAAAAAAATGCGTCAAAAGCATGCTGCCATATAGTAAGGCTCTGTGGGGTATGGAAGGCATGTCTGTCCCTCCTCACCATGCTCGCCTTTTCTAATAGTGATCTAAGTATAACGGCTGCCCCGTCACCGGCTGGAGCACCTATTGGGCGAAGATGAGCAGCCTCGCTTGCGAGCACGACAGAGAGTAAACAAGCGCTCAAGGACGGAAGGTCCATGCCCAATACAGCCAAGGCAACCGCGTTAGCCAAGGCAGCTGTAGTAGCAGCTGCGCCAGCATCAGACTGGGGACCACTGAACAAAAACCGCAAGTGTCGACAAACTGCCATACATACCAACTGTACAAGTTCACTCCCAGGGTTGAGCAACTGCAGGTACCTAGTCAGAAGCTTCTTTCCCTTAGGTAATGACACTAACCGAAGAAAGACAAGGTCGTCTTTGGGGTTGAGTCCCACAAATCGTCCATTCAGAATACGATTTCCCAAATCAGAGGTGTTCCCCAGAGGATCAGCTAATTGCAGAGATGAAGCCAGTCCCTCCAGAAGAATTTGGCGACGCCTACGAAGCTGGGCACCTCCGTCAGGATGTTGCTGAACAGCAAGGAGCCTGTCTATATCGTCGACGTCGAGAAGGAGACACAAGCCATCCTCTACAGCAATCCGAGCTGCTAGCATTGGCTCTTGTTCTAAAGGTCTTTGAGGTGACATTCCCTCAATGCCTAAATCTCCATTGACGTGGTCACCCATATTCATCCCATCAGAACGGGCTGCATCAACCTCCAAGAGAGGTCGCGGTCTGCACCCAACACTTAAATATGTAAGCGAGGCATGTAAACGTTAAGAACTTGACACCCATCAGTTGAAGGTTAGCAGACAGTCGGTCGAGAACAAAAACACTAGCAGGAACACAGAAACCATACCTGCGAATCGAAGAGTACGGGACTCTGCCCAGGGCATCCAGCTGAAGGTAAGCGTGAGGTTCAGCAGCTGCTCTAGCATGTGAAGGCATGTCACGAGGGTGGGAGGGTGCAAAGTGGCGACGCCCGTGGGGAGTGCCTCCTGCCATCTTCGCTTGCACTGCCTGGTGATAATAGTCATCAATGTACGGATCACTCCCATGTGTTGCAGCCCACTGAATTCGTACTATATTCTCAATCTCTTCTGCGGTCATGTACTTTGACCTAAAATGATGAAGGCCATTCTGAACAGCCCTGCCTGTGACAAACATAAATATATATTTAATACTAAAGAAATTCCAGCTAACCGACACATCAAGAAAGGGTCTGAGGTTAAATTTTTCCGTAAAATTTGTATATGAAACACCAACTGGATTTTATGGTGTAATGCTTGGTTGAGATTGCTTTTCCTTTAATGTGTGAGCGGGGAAGGGAGGAGAGTGGAGATGGAATATTAAAAAATAAAACAAGAATATTGTTTCATGTACGCAGACAAGTTAAACGACAAGTTCAATAACAAGGGTTTACAATCTCTTGTGACCAGGAATGACAAAAAAATCTTCCATGAATGGAGAAAAGCACCTCCATCGGATGGAAGATTTTGAGGATGATTACGGTGATGATTCTGCCTTGGCCGAAACTGTGGGTCAAAGCGTTGTTCTCTTTGATCCCAAAACTCGCGTGGCATCCCAGCTTCATTCATCTTCTGCATAGCATGATCTGCTCCAGGTGGCGGGGAACCTCCATATGGAATCTGTCCATAGGGTGGAAGCGGGCTAGAATGGAGAGGGGGTTGTTGTCTATTGTACTGTAACATCACTTGTGGAGGCATGAGTGGCATTTGCTGAGGTACAGAATTTCCAGGGACTGCTGAAACAGATGGCCGTTGCGCCCAAGGCCCAGATTGAGGTTGCACAGTAGGTAAAATGTGACCGGCAGAAGTAAAAGGTGACTGTCCAGGGCCGTATACGATGTGAGAAGGAATGACACCCCCACCAATATGAGCCAAGTTGGAAGGGGCAGCCATGGGTTGTCTATATTGTCCTGATTGATGGCCAGGCGGAGTTGCAGCTCGCTGTACAAAAAATACACAGAATCTATTAATACGCTTTGAGATTCGACATCCAAAACATACCAAAGGCAATTAATTCAGAAACTCATGAATCACTCGATTCATCCCAAATAATTCTTCAGTTACAAATATACCTGATGTGCCCTGGCAGGAGGATAAGCCCCTTCCAGTGCGCTAGGAGGTGACATATGAGGAAGACTAGGATCATTATTCCACCACTGTTGCTGCCGTAACTGTGCTTGTCCTGGCTGCTGATGAACAGGAGGTCCCAAGGGCATACCATCAAAATCCAGTCCTTGAACAGGCTGGTGCTGATGATTGGGCCACCACTTTCTTGCACCAGCATCAACTTCCCTATCCACAATTGACCTTTCTAGCCAATTGTGCGCAGGAGCCGTCTCAAATGATCGTTCACGTGGAACTGCAGCTGTAAATTCAAATGAAAATATTATTATCATAGGGAGAAGGTAACTTCAAACATAAAATTTACTGATGAGACATCCACAGCGTGCTCAAATTCACAAATGTTTACATACCATCTCTATTCGACAGAAACTGCCTTCCTTCATCCAACCCACTGCGAGGCACTTCTTCTCTTCGAGGAGATGCACTGTTGAGCTGCAACCACAAATTAATGTTGCAATTACAATCGCAGCAATATCAAAGATAGGAAGAGAAATCAAACAAGCTAAGAGACGGCAAGGACTATGGAAAGTTGAACTAACGTGAAATGAAATAGATGTGAAGTAGCTTACCTTAGCAAAGGAGGAAGTGAGATCTGACACGCTATCCCATTCAGCGCCAGCATCTTGCCCTGCTAACTGAAAACCCACAATTAACATTAGGAAAATGAACCCAAAACGTACACAAAACCTGTCCGATAAGAAATCCTAGATAACCAGAGACCGATCAAATTTAGACGAAACAGCCAAGCCAATACCAGAGTGCTCAAATGCTATTTGGCTGCAGAAACAAAAAGGACATCAAAGCAAGTGGTAAATAGAGTCATATGCCAAACCAGAAGATTAAACACCTCCACCATCTATCAGTGACAACTAGATAGGAAAAAAACTTGCAAATCATACAAATCACTTGCAAAGTGACTTTCAAAACTGACCTCGTCCCTGTCAACGAGACTATCAAGTGTATCCTCTCCATCTTCAAACTGATCTCCACCGTCTTCTTCCTCCAGACCTCCTAGTTCAACTTCTTGAGATACGTTTCTTCCAAAGAACGCATACTGAGAAGCATCAAAGAATTCGTCGCGACTTGACCGAGAGGAAGGTTGCGTGTTGTCATTAGGAGTGACTTCCGCGTCTTCCATTTTATTGCTTTTGTCAGCAGACTTTTTCATTCTACTTGGCAAGTTTTTCACCGAATGTAGTATTCACAGCTACAATTTAACTATATCTACAAGCTAAAATGAAAAATTACTGCGCCTTCTTCAAAAGTGAAAAAGGAATATTAAAAAGAAACCAATAAACACCATATGCACAGACCTGCAGAAGAATCACTGTAGAATCAGTATGCGCTAAATTCCACCCACATAATTAGTATGAAGTTGTAGAATAAGGCACTTCAGAGACGAGGGAAAAACACAGATGGAAAATAAAAACGTTCGATGAGAAACCTGAATGGTCGTTCACAAACCAATGGAGACATAAAATATTTACATGTCAGCCTTCAAAAAAAGGTTCAGACAGACAATGTCACGCAAATCCGCAGGACTCACAGAAGGTCAAGGAATAAGTCCACAACCTCGGATACACTAGACATCACCATCAGCGCTTGATCGAATAAAAAGACATTTCCTGAAGCGAAGAAAAGGATAAGAATGAAGGTAACATGATATCCATGGAAAATATTCCTAAATGAAAGCCCAACTTCTAAAAACAATGCAACTCAAGATTCCGTGAACATCATAAATTGGGATGCTGCTTGTATGAATCATCATGTAGAGCGCGTTCAATACAAAAATTAGCAAAGATAATAAAGTACAACAAACAAAGAAACGCCTTCGTCCTATGATAGGCGGCCTCTCAAACAAACATATTATATCAGGATTCTTTGCACCGTCGCAACCTTAGCACCATTCACTAGAAAAAACGGCCACGAAACATACTAGAAGGAAGGTACAAGCAACACTGCAATAATCAAAGAGCTTGAGCAAACGATTCTCCGTTGAGCACAAGTCCCATTGTCACCACTACGCGAAGTGTTTCACAACACCAATGAGGAAAGGCAGAATCCTTGCGCAAAAAGACTACTAAGCCGTCGCATTTACCGCGCTCAAATCCACACTCGATGAAACGAGACTTCTAGAAGGAAGAAAAGAAAAGAGGAAGGGGAACAGGGAAAACGAGAGGGTAGCAGAAAGAAGCAAGTAAAACTACGTAGAAAAGAGCCCCTGTAGGATGACCAAGACATACCCTAAAAACCGCCAAAACACCACACCATCACCACAAACTTCACATGACAGAGACAATCCTCGCACACTTCACAGAATGAAAGCGCGCAACACTGACCAAGAAACAGCATCATACAAAATAGGAAACAAACATACATATGTACACACACACACACACACACACACACGAACACTTAATTCGCAACACCACACCCCCGATCCGCTACACACCACCAACCACCAATTCTACCACCCGACGCCACCAGATCCCCGGAAACACAACCACGTCAACTCCAGAACTCCTCACAACCCGAGACAAACGCTCATTACCTCTAACAACGCGCCTCGTAACTCCGTTCCACCACCTCCGATGGCCCCGTATCCCCCCTGAATCGAGTCTCCCACCCCGATCCTGCACTGAATTCCGCAAGCACACACCTTCCCCCGACTCTCTTCTCCGGCACACAATCTCGCGCTGACGAAGGAGCACCAATTCCATGCGTCTAGTGCAAAATGGAAACCCTAGCATCCGCCATCGACACAGCAGCAGTGCAGCGCCTTATGAGAGGTGTCGGAACACGGTCCCTTGGTTTGTAGGAATGGCAGCACCTGAGCCCTTTATCGGTGCTCCAGGAGGGCCATAGACCCACCCACACCAGGTTTTAACTAGGGTTAAGAAAAGGGAAGGAAGGGCCCTGCCTCCCTACCTTCCTACCAAGTTACTACCCCCCCCCCCTATTCCCTACTTTAAAGAAAAGAGGGGTGTCATACGTGTCGCCCCACTCGGGTTTAGGCCCTCCCCCCACCCTATGCTTGGTGTGTTGGTTGGCGCCCCTCCTTTGCCACACTTTGGATTTTAAAGGACTTTTCTCTTTGGATTCAGGCGTGGCAACTATTCAATTCATTGAGAGGGCCATGCATGCAATCTTGCTTTAGTATGTTGATGTGTTTGGAACATAATCGATATTTTTGATAAAGCCACTTGTTTCTTCATTGGAAAGTTGAACATGTTTTTTTTGGTTAGAATTTGCACACATGAATGGTTTCATTTGTTTTATTTTTTCTTTTCATTTGTTGATATTTATAATAACAATAAAAATGGATTTTTTAAAAAATAATCATCTCATCATAATTCTTCCAACCTTCATCCAATTTTGTATCATGTTTTTCAAGTATCATTTTTTTTTTCCTACTTTAATATTTTTATTTTTCTAACTAACTCCCAAGTTTATTTCAACACATAGTTGTTATTGCAAATATGTATTTGATTTTTAAATATAATATGATAGATACAAATGAGTGATTGTTACTTAAAAAAATAATACAAATGATAGTTATTGAAGAAAGTAGAATTAATATAAAGTAACTCAAAGATATGAAATATTTATTACAAAATATGTAATATATTTAGTTATTTATTGATGACTTAATTTTGTTATCTAATTACTCAATAATATATACTAAATTCAGATTATAGATAATAAAATTACACCTTAATTTTTAAAAAACATAAGATATAGTGATATATGTGGGAAAATATTAAAGTTATCTATCCATTTACTAAATCCACCCACTCTATTATAACCATTATTTTAAAAAATGGACTATGTCTAGTAACCATCATTACAATCATGGCATCATTCTCACCTTCATCATTCCTAGTCTACACTTCCTCAATTTCCAACCTCCTTCATTCTAACTCCATTCCCCTTTATTTCCAACTTTCATCCTAGTACCTATTCTTTCTTGATTCTCATCATTTCCAACTCTCATCTCAATCCCTGTTTTCTTCTTAATAAAGAAAAATATTCTAACACCACATTATAATGAAGTTTCTTATTATTTTTTTAATATAGTAATCTTTCAAATTCCAACATTTCTAAATTAGTAATATTAATTTAAAGATGATGAGGGAGATCATGAAACTATTGGCAACATCGATATGATTTTATTTTTAATAAGGATTAAGTATCAAAACATTGAAAAGAGTGTAATTATGGATCTTAAAGACAAGCAAATCTTATGGAATGAGCTTTTAAAGATAGACAAGTTTAACATTCTATTTGATCTATACATCATGCACTTGTGCACTTGCTCACTATACAAAGCTTTAAATTGTGCGTCTAGATTTTTTGTAGTCCGCTTCCTTACGTTGTGCCATTGACAAATAAATATAAATAAAAATAAAAAATAAAAATATACTAAACTTGCTTGACCATGCATTTGATATTTCTCAACATCATCCACTCATCCCTTACAAATCTAAATATGTATAATAATGGAATGATCACATGCCAAAAACTTCACTTGGTTTTTATCATCATCAATTCCTTCCAATACTTCATTCCTTCTTCTAAATTCTCCATGCTCTTGTCATGAATATATATCTACTATAATTTTTACTTATGTAATATGAATATGTAGAAGAAAATAAAAATAAATTAATTTCATAATACCTTTTAAAGAAGCTTTCTAAAAGCTTTTTAGACATTGTTTTGACTTTACATGTATTAGTAGTTGATTGGTACGTTAGAAACTTAATCAACAAGCTAACCATGTGTCACATGTATTGGTAGCTTATGGAACAAGCTAATTATATGGCATCCATATAGAAAAATTACCTTGGAAGTTAAGATACATATCATACAAAGTCAACATGTTTTTGAAGGTTCTATAGAACATCACTACATAGATCCTAGATAGATAGTATGGATAGAAGCAAGAGTGAAGCCTTCTTCACTCTTATCAATTCTTTTATTGCTTCTACTCTAGTTTCAAGATTCTCTAATTTCCTTGTTTTTTGGCAATAGCCATTTCAATTTCTTTTTTTATATACATACTTTTCTATTTCTATTTTATCATATTTCTTTGAAAAAGCCTCATTTGATTATTTGCTTTCATCAAGTTCTTGTCCTTGATAGATTGATAAGAATATACTTATAATATCAAAGCTTTGTCTTTTCTTCTTTAAGAATAGATTATCTCTTCTCTTAATAAGACTTTAGCATATTAGAAGTTGCAAATTACCCCCTTCTAAACTGATATTGTATTTAGCATTTTTTTTCTTTGTTTTCAATTCTTTTCTTCTATTTATCTTAAGCAAAATAAAATATCTTCTTTTATTTAAGTATTATCATGGCAAAGCTTCTCAAAATGAAGAATGCAATGGCACAAATGTAAGAGCAATTAAGGAAATTAATACTTGTAATACATCATCTCAATTCACTGCTATATGGAGCAACAAAAATGGCAAGGAGTGAAGATATAGAGATGATTGAAGCTGCTTCAACATCTGCACCAAATCATGTCTCTTCTCCTATGGTAAAATACCCTCCCAATATTAGAAAACCAAGGGTTGCACTATCGAAGAAGTTTGATAGCTCAAGATCCAAGTTTTCAGGATTTATCAATCAAGTACAATTAATAATTGAACTTCAATTCCAAAGTTATCCAATTCCAGGATCACAAGTTAGATTCATTGATACACTCTTTTTAGGTTTATTATTATCATGATTTTCATCTTTTTTTGAATGACGAGATCTAATATTAGATAATCTAGAAGTTTTTTTGGTCAAATTTTGATCTATGTGTAGAAAACATGATGCAATTTGTATTGCAACTAATAAGATCCGTATTTTACAATAAGAAAATAAATTGATAATATTATATGATTTATAATTTTGACAACTTGCAACTAATATCAAGTGAGATGATACTGCACTTGTTAACCAATTTTTCTAAGAATTATAATATGGGATAAAAAAATTGATTCTCAACTTACTTGATCCTCAAATAATGAATCAAGAAATTGACTTTGTTAAGAGATGTGATAATTGAATTTTTGAATTTTGATTAGAAAGTCATCCAAGTATACATCAATACTACTATAATTCAATGATAATGTCAACAACTTTTTAACACATACATTCAAAAGTAAAAAATATGCAAATTGATGCAGTATGTTTTAAATCTCTTATTGAACAAGAAAAGACTCATCATTATCATGAAGGATTGTGCTTGTATTATAAAGAACCTAAGCACACTACTCAACATTATCCAAAGAAGTCATGCAACTACAAAATGAGAAGTATGGCTGTTAAAGAAGATAATATGTTAGAAACAAGTTTGTCTAGCTACAATAAAGATCATGCAGTTAGAACCTTGTACAACATCTAGTCAAGGTCTTATTTTTTCTTCAAAATCTTCTCCTTGTTTTACAATAAATATTATTTTAGAACCTAAATATCACAAAGCTTTTGCCTTGTTAGATTCAAGAGCCTCAATAAGTTTTTTAAATGAAGAATTTGCCAAAAGATATAGCATATGTTTAATAAAAAAATTAAACTTGTTCATATAGAAGTCATAGATGGTCGTCTATTGTCCTCAAAAAATGTTACTTATGAAACCTTTCCTATAAAAGTAGCAACTAATGGTTATAGTAGCTTTGTAATATTTAATATTATTAAATTTCTTTTTAATCCAATTATTTTAGGTTAATCATGGCTAAAAAAATATAATCCAAAAATAGATTGGATTTCTTATAGTCTTGATTTTTTTGAAAGTATAATTAAGTGTATAATTGATCAAGTAGAAAGTCATGTCTAGTGCAATCAAACTTATATTTGTAAATGCAAGAGCTTTCTTGCATATTGTAAAAGAAGGATTATCTTATATCATTTATGTTGCACATATTTCTAATGGTGGAAAGACTTCAAGTGGCATTCTAAGCCAATATCAAGATTTTTAAGATGTATTTGAGAAGAAGAATGGAAATATTCTACCAAAACATTGTCCCTATGATTACTCAATTGATCTTCAAAAAAAAGCTCAATTGTTATTTTGACCAATTTATAGTTTATGACAAAATGAATCAACTACACTCAAGGAGTATATTAAAAAAAATCTCGCTAAGAACTTCATATGCTATTCCAAATCTCCTTCAAAATCTCTAATTTTATTTGTGAAGAAAAAAGATGGATTATTGTAGATAAGGATTGATTATCAAGGATTCAACAAAATCACCATTAAGAATAGGTATCTACTATCTTTGATATCTTGAATTTTTTATCAATTGAATCAAGCTAAGATCTATACAAAAATAGATCTATAAGGAGCATACAATCTGATATATATCAAAAAAAGAGATGAATAGAAGACTGCGTTTTGAACAAGGTATGAATATTTTGAATACAACATCATGCCTTTTAGACTTACAAATGCACTAAAAAATTTTCAACATCTAATGAATGATGTTTTTTGAGAATTTTTAGATGACTTTATTATTTGTTACTTAAACAACATCTTATTATTTTTCTAAAAACACAAAGAATAAATTTCATGTTCGTTGTGTGTTACAAAAACTAAGAGATGCAAGATTTTATTTTAAGATAAAAAAAAGTATATATTTTATACTATTCATGTTGACTTTTTAAAATACATCATTTGAAATGATAGACTTATGATGGATCCTAAGAAAGTTCAAATTATTATGGATTGAAAGATGCCAAAAACAGTGAGAGATGTTCAATATTTTTTGGGATTTGCCAACTACTAACAAATCTTCATCAAAACTTCTCTTAAGTTACAGCTCTACTTATATGTTTAACT